TCTGCTTTGTAAATTTGGCCTCAGTCAGAATACCCACTTAAATCACATGAATGGATCCTTTGCTTATACTTACTCATTTTCCCCCAAATTACATACAGAAAGCCAAGAAGATGAAGTAAACTAGAGATCTTACTTTGCATCTTCACAGGTCAGAATGTCAGACAACTAACAGACACACTAACTAACTAACACATTGGGACACACAAATTAGTTGAAGGGAATGACTTTTAATAATCTTTTAAGCTTTAAATAGAGGAGACCAAGAAGACGGCGACAGGAGCAAAGTATATAATTCAAGCAAATTTGTTTAACCACAGAATTCACAATTGAGAGCACTAGCTTTGGAGTGCATAGATGTATGCACAGACCCTTGCTTTGTTGCTTAATAGATGTATAAAGTTTGCCATCCACATTCCTTCTGAGTTCTAGGTCCCCTTCTATAATCTGGGGGAAAAAATCCACCTATCTTATAAGGTGTTACAATGATTAAATTAAATGAGATTATCTATGTAAAGTCCTAAATAAGCGCTTGACACTAGCTTGATGAATTTTAGTTTCTCTATTTCACTTCAAGGCGAAACTACTTCTCATCCTCTATTCCATTTCCACTAAAAATATTTGCTTAGTACCTATTATGTGTCTAAAATTGTTCCAGGGAGCTTGGAATGCATCAGCACACAGGCTGGAAATCTAGTCATCAAGGAGTTTATATGTAGTTGTAACCTTAGACTAGAATTCTCCCAAGTCTGAGTCAGAAGATATATTTTCCCTCAAAGCTTAAACTACCACAGTGACACTATTGGACTATCAATTTCTTCCTACAGACAGTGAGCAGCACAATATATTGGTACCACTGGATCACCATTTCTTCACACAGTGCATGATATCCAATAAATGGATTGCATGAACTGATACATGGATGAGAGAGACAAGAATAATGGGTGTAAGTTGCTGTTCACTGTCCCTGGTTTGATTAATACTTCATCTTCCTCTTGCTGCCTGTTTTTTCTATCTATACCTTAGTTTTGTCCAGCATCTTCAGTTGAAAAAATGAAAATTCCATGCAGGCCAAGGAACACTGTATTGAAAGCTCTTTGACAGCAAAGTTGGGAAACAGAAACTTCCCTGATTATTTTTCCCAGCCAGGGGCAAAAAAAGCTGGTATGTAACTTGTGTTACTGAAACCCAAGGGTGCTTCTCAGTTGCTGTCTTGGGGTTAGTGGTTTCTGACTTGACCTGTTTTCCACTTGCTTTATCTAGAACTTTGGTCAGATTGGGTGCATTTCTCAGCTCTAAAATTCTTCCTTCATGTTTTGGCAGTAGGGAGTAGTACTGTGTAGTGGTCAGGGAGGTGAAATGTGGAATTATAAATCTGGCTATGCAATTACTAGTTATGTGAGTTTACTGAATTAATCATTTTGAGCTTCAACTTTCTCATCTGCCACATAAGGCATTTACAGCAGTACAGGCACTCAGGAAATTGTTGTCATTTTTATTGCTATTGTCCAGTCAGTAGACCACATATTTCAGTAGGCTCCAAGAGCCTGTAAGAGTTTCCTGGGTACTAGATCTCTTAGAAAATTCCAGGTGGATCCTTTTTACTACAAAAAGTTGTACAATCACCTATCACAGAGGACATCACTTCTGTGTCTATCCACAGAGAAGAGCTTAATGTGTTGATCTCTCAATGTGTAGATATGGAGACAGAGACCCAAACAGGTTATATGGTAGATCCTGACATCACAGGGTGGGTTAACAGCAGAGCTGGCACTAGCCCACTTCTGTAGTGATAGCCTTAGTTCTGGTTCAGTGAAAGGATTTCGACTTAAGGGGGATGGAGAAATTCCACATTTCTTCCTTGTCTTAGACAAAAATAATCAGTTTACTAGAAGCTTCCATGGAGTAAGCACAGAAAGTTCTCCCTTCATCACTGTCATACCTTGGAAAACTATCTTTGGTGTAGATAACAGAAAGAATAAATATTTTTGTTGAGAGAAAAAAATGAAGGCAAAGGTCAAAGGGAATCGTGTAATGGGTTGAGTCAGAGAAGAAAAAGAAAGTTTCTCCAAAACAGTCTTTATATAGAACTTGTACAGAAGCCAATTTCTTTGATATGGAAAAAATGTGGAAGCAGCAAACACACACACACACACACACACACACACACACACACACACACGCAGGAGGTATTTGTGGTAGGATTCATAACTCAAATTACAATGAGATAAAGAAACTAAGATGATAGGTTGACTTGGAGTGATATGTTCTCCTTTTTTTTTTTTTAAGATGGTCAGAGGGAACATTCATATTAAGAAGCTTAGTCCTGCTTAGTTATGATCTCAAATAAAATTTTTGGGACTCAAGAAAGGGGAAGAAGGGCAAGCAATGCTTCAGTCGATCTCTTGGGACTGTCCCACTCTAGGGATTATATTTTAAAAAGTACTTGGTAAGTGAACAAAAGACCAAATGATGCACAGTAGTATGGACCTGAAAAGTGTGATTTTGTAAGCATATTGACTTAAGAATTAGTGTTTTTTTTTTTTTCAAGGAGACAATGTCCTCAGCATAACTATGCAATGCATTCAGGACAGGGGCCACGCTGAGGTACAATTTACCTTATAAATTCTGTTTCCCAGTATAGACTCCAGCATTTAAAATGTTCTCAATACATGCTTTTAAATTGAAGGCGTAGAGAAAGAGACCTTGGAGATTCTTGAGGCTTAGAGATCATGTAGAGCAGGAGTTATTAAACTTTAATGGGCATTGGGATTACCTGGAGAGGCCCTGCACATAGAATTTCTGATTCAGTAGGCTCATCTGGGTCCTGAGAACCTGACCTTTCTAAGTTCTCAAGTGATGCTCCCGGTCTGGAGCCACACTTCGAGAACTAAAAAAGCAGTGGCTCTGAAACTTGGTTGCACACTATAATCATCTTAGTGAGATTTCGTAAGGCCTGATGATCGGGCCTTATTCTTAATTAAATTAACACCTTCTAAGAGGAGGGCGGATGGGACAAAATGTGGAGATTGGGATGCAGGTGAAACTGAAGCAATTTTAAAATTGGAAACTAAATCTGAGAACCCTTACTCTAGTACAAACCTCCTTCTTGTCAAATTGAGTTATTTAAAGACCAGAAAGAGTAAGTGACTCACCTAAGATTGTACAGCAAGTTAATGACTTAGCTGAGACTAGGACTCTGGGTTCTTTTACATCTGTTTAATTTCTACCATTCCACACTTATCAACCCAGGTCAGCTCTCACTGGCTCATAAATCAAGGCAAAAAATGAAAGCCGGGTTTAAAGTGAGGTTTTAAGACATCTATTATTTTTTTCCTCCATTGTTTTACAAAGAAATTTTAAGTGGATGCATATTTATAGAACTTTACCAATCTGAACAAGTGAGGAGATGGAAGAGACAGGGTTATGGAATATTTTCAAGGCAAGAGGATCCTTTAAATTTTAAGTACATTCTCAAACACAAACCAAGTGCTCTTTCTGAGTTCTTAAACAGATGTTCTTCATCTCTGAGTCAAAGCATGGGCAAGGTTTGCTTGAGATGTGCACATTAATTTTTGGCATGTAAGAGGAAGTGATGGTAAAGTGTTTGAAAGTGGTTCTGTCTCTTCAAAAGATTAAAAGTTTCCTTCCAGAACTTGGTTTCCATTAATGATTGGCTTAATAAATATTTTCAAGTAGACAGAGCAGAGATTGTGTCTTATATCATCTTAGAACCAAATAAAGAGCTACAAAAGGCTCATAGAAACCCCAGACTTCACTATTATCATTATACAGAAGAAAAATTAAGACTCAGAGAAATTGATTTACCAAACATTAGTAAGTGGCCTGACTGACACTAGACATAAACCATCTGATTCCTAATCTATTATTATTCTTTCCAATACTCAACAAGTTCCCATCTATGCTCCTTGCATGCAATGGGCATTCACAAACGTTTAGTGATTGACTACTTAGACTTTTGGTACTCAAATTAGGCAACTAAGTCTTTATCACTATTCTTTTTAACTAAAGCAGAAACTGGAGTGACATCTTTGAACACAAGTTAAATTTTCTGGCTTATGAATTAAATTAAATTCTAATCTTAACCTCACCACTTCTTAACTATGTGACCTTAAACAAGTGACTTCACATCTCTAAGCAATAGCTTCCTTCTCTGTAAATGATAATAAAGTTTGGCTTCAAAGAGGATGAAATTAGTAAGAAACACAAAGATGGTAGCTTAGTGCATTATCTGGTAAGCAGAAAAATCACTAATGACTTTGTCATAAGGTGACCACCCTTATAAAATATAACCCCTGAACATGTGTTGGAAGAAGTGATGGAGAAACAGGCAAGTGACTATTCAAATCCAGCACTGCTTCACATAAAAGCAGTGAGCATTCCCCGCCCCCCCCCAAAAAAATCATGGAGCCCCGCAGTTGCAGAGTCTTAAGGACCCATAGAATTTGGACTTATTTTCCACCTGAATAAATGAGACAAAACAAAAACCATGCCTGGTGATGTTCAGCATCCAGGAAAATTTTCATGCGAATATCAAAGGATGTGCCCAATACCTAGCCAATCTGCTATCACTTCACCCCTTTCCAAACCATTAGAAAGGCAGTCAGAAAGCACAAATCTGCTTCAATTTAACATAAAACAGAAATCACTGGCAAACTTCAGTTCTTCCACTTTCATTAGTAATAAGTGACTTTCTCATTGTTATTCACATGCAATCTCTTTCATCTACTACTGGGAAGATTAAATTACAGAGGCTTAGGGTCACATATCAGAGACGTCACCAAGTCTAAGCCTGGCTTTTCCTGTTTCACCCTTCCTATTATATCAATTCTTCCTTATTATTACAGTTCTACACCAATACTGAGCCCAAGAAATGAGTCTGACTCTGATGAACCTTCTCCTTCCATCTACCTTTATGAATATCTACACATTTGTCCAGAGGTCATTCATTTGTCAGCTCCCAATCCAAAAAATGTACTCACTTGTCCATGAATCTTCTATTGCGGTGCAGGAGGGAAGCTACATCTTCTTGGAGAGGAGGGTCTCGGACCACTTTATACTTCAGAGGTTTACACTCTAGGCAAAGTGGGGTGTCTGCGAGGGAGGTCAACATGGCAGCATCAATTTCCAGGTGTTCGTCCAGGGTGTAGATCTGGATGCCGTAAACCTCCTCATTCACATCCCGAAGTCTGATGGTCAGTGGTATGTCGCAGAAGATATTTTGAGGTCCCAGTGAAATGTTCATTCCGCTGAGAGTCAAGAGTTTGATATCATTGACAGCTCCACTGGAGTCCCAGTCACTGGAGACAAAGGTCACCCAGATGGTCAGAGACTCAGGAACCAAAGGGTAGTGGAATTCCAGCTCAAGATAGCAGCCTTGTGGCTCAGGGCAGGCTGGGGGGACCGTGTGTGGATTGACTGCTGAATTCGGGCTCCAGGTGCGAACACTGGACTTACAGGGTTGTTCAACATCTGGGTGACCTATGGAGAAGAGACATGAATTTTTGAGGGAAAACATTCATTTTTGGTTCTCAGAGTATCCTAAAGACCCCAGAAGAGAATGATCTGATAAGCAGAGAGAAAGAGAGTCAGTATTTTAGTACACATAGCATTGCATACATAGCACCCAAACTATCCCCAAAACAGATCTCATATGATTCATGAGATACTTGTAGAAAACTACATTCATTCAAGTAAGCATCTTACTATCAACTGGCTGCCCAAATATGTCTTCCATTTGAAGGCCTTGCTGTCAAGGATAGAAAGGAAGAAGTTATAAATATTTTCCAAATACCCTTTAAGTCCTATGAACTTATTTTTCATAAGCATTAATTTTAGACAAGAGGAAAGTAAAGCTCAGAAACACAATGTGAATGGGTCCAGTCACATATCTTAAAGTGCAAAGGTCATAATGAGAACCCAGTTTTGTCTCATTCTGAAATCTCTGCTCTTTGTTCCTCTTTTATTGCAGGCAGGGGCCAGTACAATAAATTACAATTCTTTGGATACTATTCTTTTTGGTATAACCTGATTGGATTGACAGTCCACCAGAAAATAGCCAGCAAAGAGGAGGGAAACAAGGATAGCATTCATCCCTTGGATGGAGGAGCTGGCAGGAAACTGCCCTCTGAGTGACGGAGCTGGAAGGCAGCTCTGGAGCCATCTTATCTCTCCTCCTCCCTTTCTCTCCATGAGGTCATTCCATACCACCGAGCTTCTCTGAGCTATGTCCAGTCTGACTCAGGAAGGGGAGGACTGGCTAAGGAGGGGAGGAGGAGGAAGGAGAGATTCTTCTCCTCATTCCCTAGGGAGACCATGTCTCATCCCAACTGATCTCAGACTGCAGTGACTTCTGAATTTTTCTCTGCTGAAGTCACATCTAGACCCTCAGAGAGCCCTCCCTTGTGCTGCTGAGAAAAGCAATCATGACTCAATGTAGCAGTTGGCTCTAACATGTATTTGGGAATCTAGTGAAAGATACAGATCAGCTGGAGAGGCCAAGGTGTGGGGGGGATTGCAAGCTGTTCTGTTATCTCTGTTCTTCTACTCCTTCAGTATCAGTGGTTGGTCATGGACGTGGGTTAGGATGATGAACATTTCTAAAGGAAAAATAATTTTTGCTTGAAAACACTTTGTGGTAATGTGACAGAGTAGCAGGAATCACTATAATATGAATACTGCCATTTGGTGTGGAAAAGTTACTCCAATGAAGGTTGTACTACCTCCAACCTACTTGTCTCTGTCCAGAAGACAAGAGACAAAAGTTACTAAGTGGAGATAGAGAAGAGAAAAAAGAAGGAGAAGAAAAAGGGGCAAAGAAATGCCCGAAGTTCTTTTAGATATAGTGCATCAGAACGAGAAGCGATGGGCCTAGCAAGTTCCTCTATACCTCCTTGATTAGAGTCCATTAGCACTCATAGTAATGCTCGTTGAAGCAAACTCTGTTTGTGAAAAGTGTAAACAAGAATCTCCAACTACCTGAAGCCTTTCCCTGTCTAATTTCCAAGCCATGACATTTTTGATTTTCAACTTTGTGGTTGGTGAGTACAAGTTTCACTTATTCATTCAGTGCATACTATTGAGGGCAATATTTTACAGCATATACAGCATATTCTGTAGGCATTAGTTAAATCATGTTGCCCTTAAAGTCCTATGGACTGGGCAACATTTCCTTGTTTGATAGACCTATTTCACTAAAAGTCCCATAGCCTTTGTTTAATACAGAAATGTGGTCTACAGAGGCTGCTCTTGAATGCTCAATCGATATTTGTTCAAAGAACCTTTTTTCTTATTTACATAGAATTAGAGAAAAAGTTACCCCATGGGGTGTTAGAGTCTGCTACCTGATGGTGCTTGTCCCATGAACATATCACCTGACTCCATGGTCTTTCTCCTGGAATTGGAAGAAGATGAAAAGATTTTTCTCCCTTCCTTGAAGAAAATGACTGTCAACGGTAAGAAGTCACAGGAGAGCAAAGATGACAAATGTGCTTGGCTCATCTTTCCTCTCTGGGTTCTTGTTAATCAACAGAGGAGCCAAATGTTTTCAAAAGGACAGGAAGGTAAGTCTGCCCACTATGATCCAGTAGGTAAACAGGAGTAGAAACCTCAGCAAAGCTTGTGCTTGTTGAGGCATTAATAGACAGATTTAGATGTGAAAAGGAGCTGGATCGGTCATGAGATCCAAACCACTACCAAGGTGGCAATCGCTTCAATCATACCAGACTTGAACTGACCACCCTCTATGTGCAGGCCCTGTGCCAAGTACATTACATGCCTCAGCTCTTCTTATCCTGGCAGTAAGTGTATGACGCAGATCTTATGAAACTCTTTACAGAAGAGGAAACTGAGACTCAGATGGTTAAGCATTTCCCCAGTAGAAATGATTCTGTTGGTCCAGGTAATATGCCAGGCTTTGAAGCAATGAAAATTGGGTTAAAATGTTAAGTACAAAGCTTTTCATTGTGTTACCTACTGCAATGTTATCTACCCCACAAAGTTGCTATAAAAAAATTGAATGAGATCTTCACTAGATGCTTACAGATATATGATCAATTTCCTGAAAAGAAATAAGGGGTGAATAAAGAAAATATTGATTGGGTGAGCATTCCAAGCAAAGAGAACAGTTGAGAGATAGCTTGAGCTAAAATGACTATGGTTTTGAAAAAAACAGGAGAGTAGCAAGTCCAGAGGCTGACAATCCAAGTGGAACTCACAGTAACAAATGTTTGTATGTCATATTAAGGAAAGTAAACTTTATATCTAGGTAGAAGAAAAATTATTAAAAAATTTAAGCAGATGAATGACATATATTTATACTTTAGTAAAATGACTGCGTATTAATAAAGATATGATTCATATACCTATCCATCTGTCTGTCCATCCATCCATGGATACAAAGTGCAATTATTGAATGGCAAACCTGTGTCCTATGTTAGGTTTGTCCCTAGGGGAAAAAGGTTTCTACACCTGCTTTCTGCCCTCATGGACCTTCTAGTCTAGTGAGGACAGTTAAGGGACTACTGCACTAACAAAGATGGCATACAACTGCTAGCTGGGACCAGGAAAATTTCCTAAGAAAGAAAAATGAAGAAATTAAGAAATTGGCCTGATGTGTGGGTATGAAAAAAATAAGGCTTGAAAAAAAGAAACACAGTAGAAGGAAGGAGGAAGGGATCAAGGGATGGAGGGAAGCATGCAGGTATGGAAAGTAGAGAGGGGGAGAAAAGAAAATAAGACAAAGAAAGAAGTGTAAAGCTCCTATTATTTCATTATTAATACATCCTGTTGTATATATGGTGACTAAGTGGAAAAATTCTACATTTATATAAGCTGTCCACTAGAATTCAAGCTGTTGATGTGTGTGTATAGAGATATATTTGTACATTTGTGTGGATCTAAAATTACATCTATGAAGATCTACACAGAAGTCCATTATATGTCTATAAGTACATATACTGCAGTTGCTGCTTCTATATGGCAGTAAAAACCTGATGTCAAGCTTTTGTCCAGATGAATAGTGAGTGTGCCTGAAACTTTCTAGGAAGAACAATGAAGAAAACAGTTATACAAAAAAAGAAATAAATACACGTGCCCTATGTTAATCTCTCATGCAAATCTCATGGAAATCCAACATGCATAAGTGATCTTATAAGGGATTTATGTAGGTTTGATCAAGCTATCTAATTCTTGGGCTGCAAGTGTAATATGGTAGATGTATGAGGAAAAACTCATGTGTGAAATACAGCTTTTGCTCAGTACTTAGGATATATCCACTTTCTGTGAACCAAAGCAGGAAGGAAGACGGTCAGTGACTTATTTACCTTCTTTGAAATGAAGTTAGTGCACCAGAGGGCCAGTCCAATAAACACATGTTAAATTAAAAATATTCTAGCTTGTTAATCTAGAGTTTAAAAAAAGGCTATAACTCCATGGATTGTGATTTCCTGAACAGGGCACCAAAATTCAACTGTCCCTTTTGTGGGTAAGACATTGTATTCCAAGAAGCTCAGGGACTCTCTAGTGCATACAGCATGTTGATGACAGGACTGAGACTAATGTCCCACTCTCCCTACCCTACACTCCTCACCCTGTACTCTTTGCCTAAGCTTCATAGACATGTCTGGTACTGCTCATGAATTTGGGAGTTTTCTGTTAGTTTGGGAAGTCCACAAACTTAAACACACCAAGATAAATAGGATGAAAATGAGTTGAGAAATAAATTGCAGAGTTTGGCTCATGGAAAAGTTTATTTCTTCAAGGATATTAAAAGGGTCTGAGCCAAATGGATCACAAAGCCTGTAATAGGATGCTCTAAAAAAAGAACAGTCTTTTCCTGGCCTGTGTGTACTAAATTTACATAGGAGGAAAACCCAGGATGCTTGGGTTTCCTTGGAGGCCTGAGTCAGCTGAGGGAGCCAGGGGTCTCAGCACTTGCAGTTGAACTCTGTACTCCATGTCACACTTTAAAAGGTCCAGGACAAACCAGAAACAGACTTTACCAACTGCCAGCTGGTTTGGATGGAGGTGTGTGGAAATGTCTGGAAATTATGTCACTCCAACAAGTGGTAGAACAAACCACAATGATTATAGCCAGAAAAGTCTGAGGGAAGACCCTTGCTGATTCCATATCCCAAATATCTCTGCGCTCCATCAATATATCCCACGAACCTCAACTAGGTCAACACCACTCCTCAGCTGGATTCTGACCACAGCCACTATCTGCTTCCTTTCCTCCAGGATCTTTATTTTCCTTATCTCATCTACAGAGCAGCAGGGAAATCTTGGTATCTTCACACCTTGTCATGTATGCTACGCTAACCAAGGTACAAGGTGTCTCCCTGCTGCACGTGGTGTTAATCCAAAACTACCCTCACGTTCACTTTCTAACTCAGTTGCCTAATTTCTACCACCCCACCTTTTCCTTGATGCTATAAATCCATTTAAATGTAAGTTATATCTACTAGTAGTTACTAAGTTCTAGGTTACAATTAAGAAATTTTAAATCCTGAGAATACATAAGTGTGTGTTCTATTACCAGAGCACTAATGACATCATGTTATGTTGTCCCTTGGAAAACTGTACTCACAGAAAAGAAGGAAAAGAAGGAAAAGTGCAAAGGGCAAATACTAGGACCATAAACATACTTCTGACTTCGAAAACACCCTGAAAACCCTTGCGGTCATCCTGTAAGTCTCTTGACCACTCTTAAAAGCACTGCCACTCTAAATTCGCCAAATTTCTTCCACATTCTTGAAAGCACTTCTTGACATTTCATGGAAAATCTGAGTCTCCAGCTCTAAGTGAGTCTCAGCCATTACTTCCATTGGCACAGGCCTCTTCACACAGAATGGAAGTTACCCATGACAGATGGTCAGCTCAGGCCCAGGACACAGTCAAAGTGGTGTTCACAGGTAAGAAAAGATAAAGAGCGCTGTCAGGTGTCAGAGACACAGTTTCTTCTGTGAGGTCTCAAAGCATATTAATTTTTGGATGAAAAAATTATGGTTACAGATTTCAGAAAGTACTTTGTAAAGATGTAGAGCTAGAACACAGTGTGAGGCAGCCTCAGTGAGGAAGCGCAGAAAGGGGATTCCTGCTCTGGGTGGGGCCTGGAGCCGGATGACCCAGGGTCCTTTCCAAGTATGACAGCCTGTGATTTTCTGAGGCTGAGCTGAGGGTTTCTCCCAGACGTCCCTCTTGCTTTACATTCCAGATGGATTTGTTTAGAGTTCCCAAGTTCAACTCTCATTTTTATTTTGAGCTACTTTAGAAAATAAAGTACAGCCCCGTCATTTCTCAACTTCACTTTCCAATCTGGTCCCACTCCCTTGATTTAATCTATCTCTCGCTCTTTCCTTTCAACTTTCTTGCTACAACTACAGAGTTTATTGGAGGAGTTCTCCCTGACGCTCCATGAGGAGACAGGATCTGTTTCCTCAGATGAACTGGTATGACAGTGTTCCCACCCAGTTCTATTGGCATGCGCTGACCTGCATGAGAGCAGGAGGGACTGGGCAGGGCCAGGGTCTGGGTGTGAGTCTCTGAGCACCAGGAAGGAGAGATGGTGAGAAAGGCAGAAAGTCTCTGCCAGTCTGACTTCAGGGCCAAGTTACAGAGGACAACAACCAGCATTTGTGAGCTTCGTTTCTGTAGAACACAGGACAGCTGTTTTTTTTTTTTTTTTTTTTTTTTTTTTTTTTTAATAATAATGATGGTATAAGGAAGCAAAGTCACTGGCCTATTAGAAATCCAGAGAGATATTCCCTGAGCAAGGAAGGGCCTGATGAGTGACACGCAGAACAGAGACAATCAGGAATTTCTCCTCTTAAGTATCATGCAGGTAAATGGACCCCAAAAGGAAAGTACATGGAAGAAACTAAAAGGAACAGTAGAGACACATGTGAGAATGCCCTCTGCTGTCTCAGAAATCACTGAAAAATTGAAGATTATGGATGCACTGAAGCCCCCAAAGAGGTGTACTGACATAGTGTGATCTTTATTGCACCCACAGGTAGTCAGGGACTGGGGCACATATAAGCACCTTGCACACCAGGCATTTGTCAGATGTGTGGTTTGGGGCATTTATTTAATATCTTGGTGCCTTTCATTCTTCATATGTAACATGAGAATTCATACTTAAGACAGTTTAAAAATATTTTTTGAATCAATGATTGCATGAGTGCTAGCCTTGCAAACACGATCTAATGGTAAGATGAGATGGTGTACAGAAGAGAAAGACTATTAAAAGTGATAAAACTGCATGGGCATAGAATGCATTGCTTTATGCAAGGTGACTCTTTCAATTTTTATCCAGAAGGCTGCCTTACCTTCTGCTTCCCGAGGGCTCCAGTGTCCGGATGGGCCACAAGGCATTGGGGAGGAGGCTTTGAAAGCATACTGCACCAGGATTCTCCCTTCCAGACAAAGGTCACATGCTGATCCCAATTCTCTAGGAGGCCAAGGAAAGAGGGAAAATGCACCGACTTAGAAACATTTGAATGAACAACTAATGGGATGAGGTTAAAGACAACAGAGCAAAGGACACAAGTCTATCTACCCACTTTTTCCCTACACCTGTGAAGACTTTCAGAAAATATCTTTAAGAAACTTTTCTCATTGTCCAGGATCTCGTTTTGATCAAAGCACCGTCTGTTCTGATGACACACTACAGTGCTACTGATTCCAGGCAGCACTGAACCAGAGGAGATGCTTGCCTCCTTCAATCATTATGATTCATCTGCCATGAAGAGCTTCGGTGGAATTTGCCGTGGCATTGTGAGAAATACCTTTTATCTCACGTCTCATGTACTGTACCTACTATGTGCCAGATACCACTGTGTGTCACAGACTGGAATATGAAGAAAGCAGAATTCCCTTATTTGAAAATGAGTGGGCTGGATTTGATGATGCCTACAGAATCTTCCAGCCTTGATGTTCTGGGGATGGATGAATCACTCCTTAATTTAATAGGCTAAAGCAGTTTCTTTACTATGTCATCTAATTCATGTTAGCAGCTTTCCAGGGGGCTAGTCAATCCCTCAGTAGAACCAGCCCCAGAGGGGAATATGAAGGTGGCTTCCTCTTCTGTCTTATGTATCTGGATTCAATCTCCCTTTGGCCACAATAACCACTGGGATCCTACTTGTTCTCTAAATTTGTCATCTGTTTAAGAGGCAGACATGGGGAAGGCAGTAGGATAGGTTCATTCCTCCTGTATTATTATAGAGTCCAAGTTCTGCCAATCAGAGTGACCTTTTCAGAGAAACTGGAAACAATCTTGATTGTTAAGATGTCAAGAAGCATCCCAGCCCAATCCAGTTTTTCTCAAATCCAAGAACCCCTGCTGATTCTTCTTTCATCATTCCTAGAAAACTTCCACAGAAGGAGCCAAATTTCAAGTCTTTTAGCTTTCCTCTCACCTGAAAAAGGCTATGCCTCTGGGCTCACATGATAGGAAAGGACACATTTGTGGGCATCACAATCTTCTAGTGTTCCACACATTGCTGCTGGCAATCATCACCAAATCTCAGTTTGAAGATGCCAAGCCTCCACTTATCATCTTTGGTAACTCCAACCCCAGTCCCTCTGGGCCATCCACTTATCATCTTTGGTAACTCCAACCCCAGTCCCTCTGGGCTGTGGCAGCTTTCAATGCCCTAGTGATCCATTCTCATCTTTCCAGCGTTGTTTCTACCAATTAGCTCTGGTGAACTTCTGTGTGGTTCTATGTTATACCATACCTCCATCCTTGATTTTCAAACCTGGCTGATGTTTCTCATTTTCAAGCTTTACCTTGGATATTATTCTCTCTATGAAGAAGTTCTTTTTGTTTTTTTTTTTCCACATAAGTGAATTCTATTTCTCCACGAGGTCTTTAAGAATAAGGTCAACATTTTATGGTTCTCTTTTTCTCCCAGGGTATGTAATACATAGCTTATTTCTTAAGGATGGTTAGTATACATAGTTGAGTAGATGGATTGATCTTTGGGTAAATGGATGAATGAATGGATGAGTGAACATCAGTCACTCAGAAATATTATTAACACTCATGGCTAACCTAGTGCAGACTTTCAAATTACAAATATTTTGCATTCTTAGCTCTATCATTGTAAATATGAAACCCATACACAGGTTAAAATTTTGCAAGCATACAAATCCTCAGTAACAGAATAAATTAAAAATCCCAAGGGTAATATGGTTAGTGGAATAACAAGCAGTTATAAAATTATTTATAGATATTATTTCATGCAAAATGTGTAAGACATAATACTAAGTGAAAAATCATATTTAAGGTGGAATTTATAACACATTGCAATGCTATTAAAATACTGTTGACAGTGATTTCTGAATGGTGGATCATAGGTTGATTCCCTTACCACCAGTTTTACTCTTCTTGATTTTCTAAAATTTTTGTATGCTATAGGCACCTCTGAGTTATTCCTGAATGAGCAGCAACAATATTTGTACATATATATGAGTAATCAGGGACTTAACAGATAAAGAGATACTTCTTCAGCACTGCTAGTGAGGAAAGAGTTCTCTTACCATAAGCCCATACATAGCAGCCGAGTCACATGACTGGCTTTACGATGACAGTGACATTACAAATGTCCTGGGATGGATTAAGGAATCATAATGACCTTGATGGCAACTGAGTTTTTCATTTTTATTTATTTTAGGGATTTTGTTTTAGGTGACACACAAGTCACTTGAACTTCACTGAGCTCTTAACATATTTCAGTTTCTTAAAATATAATGTGTGGTTCTAGACATATCTAGGGAATATATGTACTCCCGAACTTTGGCATTTATTTTATTATAATGGATACCTGCATATAACCAGACACACACACACACACACACACACACACACACACACACTTTGAAATAATTTATCTATAGGATGTGACTGCTGAGAGAGGTCATTTTTCTTACCTGGTTTTGTAATAGTCAAAGCTTAAAACTCTAAAGCTGTGCTTACCAATTTTGTAGCTACCAGTCACATGAGGCTAGGCAAGTTTAAACTAATCATGACTAAAAATTCTCTTCCTCAGTCACACTAGTATTTTGAATGCTTTCTAGCCACAGCTGGATGGTGGGCACTAACTTAGCAAGGCAAATACTGAACATTACTGTATATAAAGTCGCACTGGACAGTGCTTCTCTAGGGGGCCTCACTATAAAATATATATACATAAATTCTGGCCTTCGAAAGTGGAATGATACTAGTTGTACAGCACCTTTGAGAACACTGAGAAAATAGTTATTTAAATTGTTTTTTAGAGCTAGGTTCCTTTGGTTTACAGATAAGAGATGGAAGATTGAAAAGACAGGGAAAATGGATGAATCAGCAAAGCTTTCAGACCCAGGTCTCTTGATTTGTAGCCCAGTGCTCTTTCCAATACAGCATGGCCAATTGTTCAGATAACTGAAACCATCCAGTCAACACATGTTTGCAAGACAGATAAAAATAAAAGAGAAAAACCAGGGGTGGCCTTGAATTATTTATTCAGTTGCCCATGTGTGGGGACACAGGCTGTGGGAGGATCTGAATATGTTTTTTTAAGGGAAACCCTTGTTTTCGTTTAGACCACAGATGTGAGAACAGCAGGAGGACATGAGCATGGCCGGGGGCAAGATGTTGGCATTGATGAATGACGTGGAAAACACCAGAGGTTTTGCAGGGAAAGGGAATTTTTCAAGTAGCTAAACAGCTCTGGAAAACATTGCATGAGATAGAAGCTAATATTTCCTGAGTGTAGAGCATGTGTGCTTGCCATGTCATAGAGATCACCTTGTTGAATTCTTCACAAAAGGCGGGTGATGGGGGCACCATTACCACCTTTTATGGATGAAGACTCAAAGATTCACAGGAGTGACATGGCTGGCTCAAGGTTCCATCGACTAGGACTAAGGAAGCTGTGAAGGGGAAACAAATGACTGGACATCAAAGCTTGTACACATTGTAAAAACTAAACCAAGTGTAAATCCCACGTGTAGGGGTGAGGGATACGCATAAAATGTCCTTCCAGTACTTTACAGAATTTATTGAACTTGTGGACCGACTTCCTTTCACTGTACTCAATGGCCTACATAGCTGTTAACTCTAATTAGACATGTTTCAAAAATGTCAGTTTTAATTTAACATATGATAACTGTGTTATGAAATTTTAGACAGAACAAAATAGCTATTGTATGGGCCTCAAGTACCCACTGACTATAGGTTATTAAAAACATATTGATTGAAACTGAGGGCACTATGTAATAGAGACATATCTCATTACTCAACAATTAACCTTCCAATAGGTTTCCAACAATCAGATGGTATTTATTTAATAGACAATAACTGCTTTATGAAATACAAATTGAATACATACACAGGAAGTTTCATTTACAAAACTTCCATTTTTAAGTGGAATGGAGGCCAAGGCTTGACCAAAAAGTCTGATACTTCTCATCGCCACAGAAAAAATAAATAAATCTACGGCTGCTGGAAAGCTTGCTCTGAAGTGTCACATGAGGCTTCCCAAACCCAGCTCTGAGCTCCCAGTGAGCTCAGAGGCTGGGGTAGGGGAAGGAGAGTTTCTACAGAAAGCCTAGGAATTACATTTCCTTCCCCACTCGTCCCGCTGCCACAGGAAGTCTCTAGATTTAGGGACTGATGGTGAGGTGGAAAATTAGAGTACATATTTCCTGTGGTGCTGTGATTGAGTAAGTTTTAATTAAACTTAAATTTAAAATTTAAAATTTAACTTAAATTTAAAATTAAACTTAAATTTAAAATTTAAAATATAAACTTATATGATAACTTTATATATTTGTGATATATAATGTGAATTTTTGCTATATGTTCACAATGTTGAATGATTGAATCAGGTAAATTAACAAATTTGTCACTCCTCATATTTATCATTTTTTTGGTGATAAAACCACTTGAAATTTCTCCTTTTAGCAATCCTGAAATAAACAATGCAGTAGTGCTGACCTGGATCACCATCTTGTGCATCACATTAACTTCTTTCTCTTGTCTACCTGAAAATTTGTATCCTTTGATCAACATCTTTCCTTTCACCATCCACCCTCCTCCTCAGCCTCTGGTAGCCATAATTCTTTTCCTTATTCATAGTTTGACTTTTAAAAATTCCACATATAAGTGAAATCAGGTGGGATTTGTCTTTCTGCAATTGCTTTATTTCAAATAACATAACATTCTCCAGATTCATCCATGTTTCTGTAATTGAAAGGATGTCCCCATTTTTAAGGCTGAATAATATTTCAACTATCTATCTATCTATCTATCTATCTATCTATCTATCTATCTATCTATCCATCACATTTTTCATGTGGTCATCTGATGAAAGACTCTTTGTTGCTCCCATAGTTCGGCTATTGTGAAAATCGTATGTGTTTGTGTATCTTCTACATAACAATTACAGGTCCTTTAGGGATATCTACACAAGTGAGAAAGCAGGATTTTAAGGTAGTTCTATAATTAATTTCTCCAGAAATCCACATGTTGTTTTCCATAAAAAGTGTTTTAAATTATGTTACCATCAACAGTGCACAAGGATTCTCTTTTCCCCACACCTTCCCAACAGTTGTCAATATTTTCTCCTTTTTATAATAGCCATTCTAACAGTGCAAGGTAAAATCTCATTGTAGTTTTGATTTGCACTTCCCTGATAATTAGTGGTATTAAGCTCTTTTCTTTCACATAACGGTTGGCTATTTGTGTGTCATTTTTTGAGAGGTGTCTATGGAGGTTTTTGCCTAACATATTTTTACCTACATACAAGCACATACATTTATAAATATGAGCTCTTTGACACCTTTTTTGCAGCTGTTTTGGAAGGTGGTGTAACACCTCCTGCATAACTTTAGTTTTGGAACAATTTAATAAAAACACATGGGAGTCATAGACAAGACATTGCAAAATGTGAGTTGGAACCCAGTCCCTACCATTTTCTATGGGATCTTGGTCAAATCTCTCAGCCTCACTCAGCAACAAATCTCTCCTTATCTGGTACAAAAGAAAGATAATTCCTTTTTTTTTTTCTTTATTGGATTACTGGGAATATTAAATGAGCCTCTGTATATAAAGCATTCAGTAAAAGCCCATCACAAAGAAAGTATTTAACATACCACAAAACCCCAATGGAGAAATACTAATTAATTATTATCATAGCTATTATTTTTATTATTATCAATTATATATATCCCAAGAAGAGTTGGGATCTGGTACTATACCTATTTTTTTTTTTTCTTGGTTAAAGCAAAGTTTTAAAATAGAAGTAAATACTGTGGTCCATTTCCATAAACTTTTTTTTTTTCCATTTCTAAGGATTGCACACAGGACTTCACAAGCCAGGCAAGTTCCCTACCACTGACCCAAGCCCATCAAACTTTTTAACTGGCTCACTCAAAGTTTGATTTTGCCATGGAGCTTCCATGCTGATAGGTGCTACAAGAAAATATTTATTCAGGTCTCTATCTTCTGGCAACTGTGGCATTTTCAGATTCATTTCTCAGGACAGAAATATAAGAGTCAGACAAGGAAAATGACATATCTGATGTCACACAGCTGACTTGTGATAGACAAGGGAACAGAATTGAAGTGTCATGAACTTCAATTTATTATTCTTTGATCCTCTAAAATAATCTCTCCACGTTCACACAAATAAACACTGAGTACAAAGATTATGATTATATCATATTCATGCATATTCACATATATGAATGAGCACATACATACATGTGGACACATATATACTTTCATTTGTTATGTAGCTTTCTAGAATATAATATGAAAGGTTTTACCCATTAAGCAGAGGAAATTTGGACCCCTGAGCTAAGAGACTAAAACAATGCCTCCATCCTAGAGACTTCTACTAAGAAAAGTTTCCAAGTTTCTAATAATAAAGCAAGTCTAAAGTAAATAAATATAAATAAAAAATAAAGCAAATCTCAACAATTAGTTGAGACTTAGAGTATGTATTACTGCTTATTCATTTCCAGTAGCAATCATTCTTTGATTTCCTGCCCCAAACTTACAACATGCCATAGATACAAGTCACTATACTGAGTGGTACGGCTCCTGTTTAGTGAGAGCAAGAAACACAAACTCCTCTCCAAGGCAGTATGCCTTTCAAATTTTCCTCTTTTTGGCAAGAGGGAGGGAGAAGAATTAGCACTCCACGGAACACACTCACCTTTCAAAGATGTGACCGTCGATGGGTGGGAACCACTCCAGCATCACAGAGTCCGTTGTGTGGCCCACAACCTGGGGGGCAAGTGCTACAGGCCCCGGCTTCCTGGAGGGCTGCCAGCTTTGGTACACCAGATCCAAGTAACAGTGCATTCTGGCGACTTGATTGGGCGTGAAGGAGTCCGTACAGTCGTCATCTGCAAGCAGGCAGAGGGAGAGATAAGCACTAAGCTGCACAAGCAGGCATGCGAGAGAAGGATGACGTCTCCTGGCGGCTAGAGAGCCAGCACCCCCATTTTCCCTTGCCAGCTCAGGGTGGCCTCCTCCAGTGCTCAAGAGTTAATGGTCTGTGAACAAATTAGTGCAGTCATCACTCCTGGAGACAGGTGAGAGGAAACAACAGGAAGGGGAGGGTGGACAGAACTGGAAAAGTATGCCTGGGACTGGGGAGAGAGCAGCCAAGAGGTCATGGTTAAGGACAAGGGCAAGACAAGCTACTTTCCAGGGGCTCCAAATCCAAGAATCCCTTCCTCCCTCTTTCACTATCATTCGTGCATTCATTCATTCACTTTTTATCTACTCACTCATTCATTCCTTTATGTCCTCACTAGTTCCCTGACTTCTTCCTTCCCCTTCATTTGCCTATGCATTCATTGATTGGCATTCATTCATTCTAATCTTTACTAACCCCATGATGTTGCCTTTCAAACAAGCTTTCTGAATGTCTAACACATATTCTCTACTCTATGCTATGGGTTGGGAAGAATGGAACTTAACAAGTTCCTGCTCTCGTATAGCAACCTGTCCAGTTATCGTATCAAAGCCAGGACAATGAATGCGTCAGAGTTGCTACAAGGCCACCAAAGCCTGTGATGTTGACCATCAGTGAATGAAGGGAGACAGCACTTGGGGGAAAGAAGGTGGTCCAGAAAGTCTTCTTAAGAAGGAGCTATTTGAGGTCAATCAGATTACATGGCTGTGAATGGAGAAGAAAGTTGTAGGACAGCAGAAGAGGGAGCTGTACACTCACATAGCCATAGCATCATAAATGAGAGCCCAAGACAGGACAGGGTCACACAGATTCAGGCACAGCTGCAATTCAATTCACAGGATGCAAAACAAGCAATACCTCTCACAGTACTGACACTAAGTATGCAGCAAGTATGGCATATATATCTAGGCCCGCCTCCCCAACACACATTATTTTGTTGTGCATATTATTATTTTCCCCAATGTGCACAAGATGATGTCACCCTCAGAGAGGCTAAGCAACTTTTCTAAGATCACAGAGCTAGGCGTAAATCTGGAATTTTAATATAGGCACCCCCAACTCAAACACTTTATCAAGTCAATGTAAGAACTTTCTGGGCATGAACAATACCTTGCATGGATAGTCTCCTGCAGGTGGCTGATAAGTGGGAACTGAGGCTGCTTCTGAGTCTGAGGGAGACTGAAATGCAATCTCTCAGGTGTCTTTAGATCTAATGACCTCAATTCTGCTCCTTCTTTCAGTATGAACTGAAAGCAGTGACTCAAGGCCTGGCCCCCAGTAAGAAGCTTGCCTCCCTTCTCTCCTTCCAACAGTGTTATTCAGCAGCCCTGGGAGCAGAGCAAGGCATTGTTTTGGCTTGATTTCCAAAAACACCACTCCCTAGAGGTGTCTGCCTGGTCAGGGTCTCCACAGCTGGGCTCCAGACAGAGGAGTTCACTGCTCACCACATTTTAAAATAAACCCACTATGGGGTACCCTACAGCATAAACTCAGCTTTTCTTATCAAACAAATGGAAAATAAGTCTGAGCAGGTGCTGGTCAGTTGGAAATGACCTTGGAGAGCAGGGCCAAGCATGTGAGGGAGTTTATACACAGAAGCTGCCTCAGATCCTCTTAGTAATTTTTGACAGTCTCCTTTCCAGTATCCTGGGGAGGGCGTCAACACATTTGGAAAAAGAAAAAGCGTCCAAAGTCCCTCAGTAAGCACTGTATGAATGTGACTAATTAGGTTGATCATCTCAAACCAAGGCGCACCAAGGAACTCGCTGAATACCACACAGTCTATGGTTCTCCGCTGCCTGAATTACAAATACTTCAGTCTGATAATAGCCAGATCATCAGATAGTTATTTCTCTGCTTCTACAGACTGTGCATTGCATCAGGAAAACCTTGGAAAAGTAGATGAATAGGTTCAAAGAAGGACAAGAGGCATGATGGCTAAAGAAAAAAGTGCACACAGGAGCTGATGTCAAATGGTCAAGTGATTTTATGTCAAAAGTGACTCAATTTGCTCACGTGCAGAAGGAGACAATGACAGTGGATAAAGTGCCGAGTGCAAAGACAATGTCTGTGGTACATGTTCAGCAAATACTTAATGTCTCAAGTTTGGTGTGTGTGTGTGTGTGTGTGTGTGTGTGTGTGTGTGTGTGTGTGATTTGTATGTTTATGTAGGTGAAAGTTAGAAAACTAGAAACAGAGAAACTCAGCGTGTAAAATATGCACATGTGCATTTCCTTTGAGCTAGCAGTACCACATTCACAAATTCAGTAGATAAATGCCCGTGGATAAACGCAGGGAAAAATGTGTGTATGTTGGGATGTTTCTTGAAGCATCAGTTATCATTACACTATCAGAGCTGATATAGCTGTCTAATAATAGGGATTAACTATGTAACTTAAGGCACAGTCATGGCTTAAAATACTAATCAGTACTACCGAAAAGTGAAGTAACTGCATGATTCAGTTTCCTCAAATCTGTATTGGGGACATTTAAATAAGAACTGTGAGAGTAATAAAACCCCAAAAATGTAACTGTTATTGTAAAAAAGAGAGGAAAATGAAGTGGCCCAAAGGATATAACTGCATGTATATTTAAGTGTGTAGGGCAGAAAACCATATTACTGAGTTTTTGTTGGATCATTGAACAGAACTGTCTGCAATCTCACTGTATGAATGTCCACTTTGTATACTTTAATTTTGTACTTTGGACAACTGTTTTTAAGATGACAATATGTAATCTATTAACTAGTGATTTCTTACTGTATATTTTTTTTCTTGAAATTCTGTATTACTTGTACCCTTTTACTGCATTTTTTTCTCTTTAAATAAAAAAAAAATCACCTGAGTGTTTGTGAGGGTTTGATGAGCTGGTGCAGGAAGACATTTATCATCTAAAATTTTTGCAGTTTGAAAATAGGTAATAGGATTTTGTAAGGGAGTAAGAACCTTAAAGCTTGGGTCAGAAGTTGTCTGTTTTTGGCCTGATGTGGTGGCATACATCTTTAATCCTAGCACTCAGAAGGCTGAGATAGGAGGATTGCTGTGAGTTTGAGGACAGCCTGGGCAACATAGCAAATTGAAGGCCAGCCTGTGCTACACGGTGAGACTTTCCTGCTATTTGAATCTTGGGTTAGGTCCCAAAGGGTTTCCATTTACTATAAATGCTTTGTCTCAATTAGATAATTTCTTGAATCAGCCCCCCCAAATTTCTCCCTTCTGGTATCTGTGGCCACTGCATACCAGCTTGTAGGGTTAGGGTTAGGTAGTTCACCTGACCCTTCTGTGCTTACCTTGTCCCTAGGCAGAAAGGACTCTGGAGACTTCAGCTCCAGGAACAAGGTAGGATGGTGCACAAGTTTCTATACTGTTGCTACAGCCTTGGGCTTGTCAACCGAGCCTTTCTCTTAAGAACAAATTCCTACCTGTAGCTAGAAAGATGCCTTATGTGGGAGGTTAGAGCACAGATTGGGGTCTCCATTCCCTCAGACAGAATGCTGCTATAGCTCCTTTTCACCCATTGAAAAGGAAGGATCAGCCGTGTCATCTGGCTCATAGTGCTGAAGAGGGCATCTAAAGCATATCTACCTCACGGATGACTGCATGCGTATTACAAAACTTACTTAAAAGCAGCGATAATATTAGCAGGCCTAATAGTAAATAAATGTTACTATATATATTTTATTGTAGAATATTTGGAGTATGTCAAAATGTTACCAAGAAATGAATATCACCCTAAATCCCTTACCTGGAAATAATATAGTTAATGTCATATATATATATATATATATATATATATATATATATATATATGTGTGTGTGTGTGTGTGTGTGTGTGTGTGTGTGTGTGTGTATACATAGGAATGTCTACAGTGATTCTTTATGATATATATATATATACACACATGTGTGTGTGTATCTTACATTATACATATGGCTATGACATTTTTCACATTTGATAGTCAAATAATCCTAATAGTTATCATTTATCAAGCACTAATTGATATCAAAGACAGCCCTAAATTTCTTATTTGCATGATTATAGCTCCTAATATACAAGGTAAATGTAATTATCCTTTATGATACTGAGGAAGTAATATAGACTAAAAAAAAGTGATTTGCCCAGTGTCAAATTCTGGAACATATAGGATTCAAGTTCTGTCTCTTCACTCCAACCATCACACTCTTAATTACTATGCTACTATACTTTTCTGTTCATCTCCCTCAACCATCTTTACTGGCTACATGATGTTCTAGCATATAGATATCTTCTGGTTTGTTTCAATAATCTATTATCTTTGGGCTTGTAAGATATTTCTAAAATCTTTTGCATATAAAACATTATTCTTCTTTGTCTGGCATGTAGTAAATGCCTAATAAATATTTGGGAAATGCACATTGCTAAGAGCATGCTTATAGCTAAATCTTTAAGCAATTAGTTGATTTATTTTTTTCGGATATATTCCTCAGAGATGGGATTCTGGTTTAAAGCACGTGTGCATGTTAAAAGGCTCTGGCACGTAGAAAAATAGCAACACAGCCTATAGGCTGGAGGAAACCTTATTGCTTTTGTTTTAGCCTTTGAGTTTGATTTTGCATTTTTGAGGAGGTCTTGACTTTGAGCACCATCTAAGTATGCCCTATTTTCTTCAGGAAGTGGAATCAGGATTGCGGACCATTTGTCTGCCAAGGTCTTATCTAACAACTCACCCTAAGCTCCCCTGGTGCTTTCTGCTGATCTGGGCTTGCCCTAATACCTGTTGTTGCTCACTTTATCTAAGCACAAAGACAGTGCAGTGACAAAGACTTGAAAAGTGAAGCTGAACTTTTGCTTTAGTTTTTAAGTGTGACTCTGGATAAGCTACCAAAGCTACTTAAACCATTTTTTTACATCTAGAAAATAGGCATGATAATAATAGCACGTAACAATCCTCTGTGGTTTATTCTGAGAATTTAACATGCAATGTCTAGTATATCATGGATTATCATAGGCTTACAAAACCAATATGGTAGACACCTGTTCTTGTGTTTTTTTTTTTTTTTCAGTTTAAATTAATTAAAATAACAGGTCTTCAGTAGCACTAGTTTTATTTCAAGTGCTCACTTGCAATATATGGTTAATGGCCACCATATTAGAAAGCCAGGCATATATTATGGTCACCTTTGTAGCAAGTTCTGTTGGACAGGGCTGCTAGTGACCAGGTATGAGGAAATAACACCCAGGAAGGAAAAGCAACTGGAAGAAGGAGACTCCACAATGTCTCTGTCCTTTCTTCTTGAAGGAGGGAGCCCTGTGCTTTCTTCAGCCCTGAGAAACCAATTCCATCCTGAATTTTGAATTTCCTCCAGCTGCTTTTGTCACCTCATCTATCAGAGATCCTAAGGAAAACAAACATTTCAAAGCTCGTAGTCGCCTCCAATATGCTTTTGCGGGTGTAAGTTTGTTATCGTAGTTCAGTGAATTAGTTCTGCTGGTAATGGGCCACTGAGCTGAGGGGTTCCTTTAGAAAAACATCAGTAAATCAATCACCGTTTGGATCTGTACAAAAGGGAGAACAACAACAACAACCAAGAAAGAGATTTAGTTTATGGGGGTCTGGTAGCAGGGGCAGCTCATAGGCCCCTAAGAGGTAGGCAAACTTCCAAACTCATGTTATTATTTACTTTTCATGTGTGTTGATCTGGCCAAGGAAAGGTGCTACAGAAATGGAACGTAAGCATTGCTGTGTGAGGGGACAGGGCACCGGATGTGAAGTGTCTGTGAGGTCGGGAAGGGAAGCCCAGTGGGAATTTGCTTTTGAGGAAATACTCAGAAACCTGGCCTTTTTAAGAGACTATGGTAGCAGGAGTGAGTTACTGACTTTTCAAGAGATGTTAGATTTAGACTGTATGACTCTTAGACTGGAGAGGTCCCCAGATGTCATCCGCTTAAATGGTAAAGCAGGATAAAACAGAGGAGCCATCATATCTTTTGGGGTTCAGCAGACAAATATCTTCAAATGCAATTAGTAAATTCCCACAAAAATGCAAAATGGTTCGAAGTTATCTCCAGGCCCACCATCTTCCCATGGGACCCCTGTCCTAGCTTTGTGGAAGACAATATGTGAAAACCATCCAGATTGCTTAATTTCCCCACTTGTGATCTGGGGGAATGACTCCTGTAATCGTCAATACTGTTGTCTATAAAATGAGGATGGTTCCTACCCTATAGATTTGTTGTAAGAATAAAATAATTTGGAGAATATGAAAATATTTCCTGGACAGTTAATTTTTATATGGTGGAAATATTATTATTGATAAGAATCAATTTATATATACCTATTATAAGAATTTTCATATTTTCCTCCTTCATTTCCTCCTTCCCTCTTTCATTCTTTCTCCTTTCTTCCTTACTATCTACCAAATATTTTCTAAGTACCAGACACTCCATTAGGTCTGAGAATACAGTTATTATACTAAATACAATCTCTCTTTTCACAGAATTTTCTTGTTCCAGTGGAGAAAGAGATGGGTTCAGTATTGGCCTCCACATTCACTGTGTGGTTTTTACAAGCACACTTGACTGAAGGAGCCAGTGGTGAAAGCTGGGACTGCCCTTAGAAAGGACTGTCTTGTTCTTACTTGCCAAAGGTACAAAGAGGGCTCAAAGTGGCCTTGATGCACCATGTGCTAAAAGGAGAACAAGGCATCCTAGAACTTAGAGGATGAGTCCTTAATACTGCCACTGATGGTCTATAAATGGGTTGTGATAAGATACAGTTGGAAAACAATTCTAATCTCATGTAATAATCTTGTATTTGTAAAACCAAAAGCTTTTTTTCTTTTTTCTTTGCAAAAATCAGTAAAAAAGGGTGTGAGCATTTTATGTTTATATAAGGGAAACCTGGATTAAATAGAAAAGGTTCAATAATCCAACAGTTGAGAAAAATACAGATGCAAAACTAGCAAGGACCTTGGAGATCAAATTCAAAGGTTTTCTTTTCTTGAGAAAAGTGAGGCCCAGAGAAAGGATGATCCACTGGTATTTGGTGTCACTAGCCTTTCTACCCCTGTTTCCAGGCTTTGGGTCTGGGAAGCTTTGAAATGCAACATCTACCTTGTCGCCCTCAGATGCTCTTGAAAGGAACCTTATGTTTCTTGAGGGTAAGAAATCTTTTAGTCTTAGTCAAGGTAAGCAGCTTGTTCAAGGTTACCCTGAGTAGGGGCTTAAGCCCTTATCTGACATCCTGTCCTATGCAGGACGGGACCATGCCACCCACCCATAGCGCAGGGCCCTACCTGCATAGCTCATGAAGTTGTTGTAAGGAGTGTCGAAGAAGCTATTAAAACCACAGGTGTCATTTCCTGGTTCTGGGTCGCTGCAAAACTTGTATTTAGGGGCTGGGTTGGTATCATTGCAGAGATCTCCAGTCTCAAAAGAAGGCTCTGTCTCCATGCAGGGGTCACTGCAGGACTGGATTTCTGAGATGCCTCGGAAGATGTGGTAGAGGCCCAGGCTGTGTCCAATCTCATGGATCATGGTGTGGGTGTGCCCAGGAATGCCATAGAAAGACGGGTTCAAGACAATGCCACCTGCAAAGGGAAAACCAGAGTGTTAGCCAAGGTGGGCACTCTGCTTCCTGGTGCAAGAATCAAGGATAAAGACATGAAGCCCAAAATAACAACAGGTTTCTCTACTGAGTATTGTTACCACCTGTGACATGAATCACTGGTTATCAGAGTAGGAAGACAGGAGTCTCAAAAGTCATTTTGTACAACCACTTTTTATTTTTCAAATGAAAACTTGAAGCAATTTACCTATGTAACTGCGAAGTATTTAAAAGGAGAGGCATGATTAGAATTCAAGGATTCTGATTTCCAGGTTGATAAATCTTTTGGCTGAAAATGTTTTCTTAGAATGCAAGGCATCTCTTGCATCATAAACATTCTACATGTGCTTTCCCTAATGAAACCCTCGCTGGGGCTCAGAAACTTTAGTTTCGTTGTTGTTTGGACTTCACTAACTCTGTGATATCCTGCAAGTTAATCAACACTTGAGAATCGCACCTCCCCATCTCTGAATTTTAAAGGTGAGAACACTCATGAAGGACAGCACAAGCTACACTCAGCATTCTAACAGTGCTCACCTAAGCCAATGCTCACGTGCTACACTGAACATTTCATGAATATAATCACATTTAGTCATCTCACAACTCAACAAAGGAAGTATGGGTTCACAGAGAGGTGAAGTAACTGACCCATAACCAAAAGTAAGAGTGGAACTGAAATCTGAACTCAGGATCCTTGAGTACCAAATCCAGAACTCTTAATCAGTGCTGTGCTACTAATGTCTATCACGGGGCCTGGAATATAGTATCTCATTAAATGTGTGTTGAATATTTGTTTTAAAGAGTGTTGGGAGGTATAACTAATCATTTGTTAGCAGCTAAAATAGCACCTGACCTACATCATGTGTGCAACTTCTCATCTACCCAATGTAAAAGCAAGCAGTATAAAGGTGACCTGGGGACTTGATAGAAATGCAGACTTCCAATTCCTGTTTCAGATCCACAGCATCACAATCTACACTTAATCAGTCATTTATGACTGGTCCATACACTCTACTTGAAAAGCAGTGCTTTACATAGAATATCCCAGAAGATACAACACTCCTTAAATCCAGAAGTAGGCAGAGCAGAACTCAGCAGAATCAATGAATAGTTTTGATCTTATATTTATTTTAGGCATGGGAAAAATGAATACAGGTATATAGGAAGATATTTAGACTCTAAAAACCAAACATGTTTCAGGATTAAAGGATTAAAATTCAGTCTTAGACTATCACAAGCGGGAACTTTAGCCACAGAGCAGCATTTTAAGAAAGAAGGGAAAGGAGGCAGGCCTTCTTGATTTGAACTGGAAAGCTCAGGATAAGCATGAAGGACTTTTGTCTTGGACTAAACTGCTGGGGTAGCAAGTTTGCTCAGGAATGGAGCTAATGGAGTCTATTAATTCCACACTGCTGGGAAACTTCTAACAGACAGAATTGTATGAAAGAGCATGTGGGTAAGTGTGCGCATGTGCTTGGGGGGTGTAAGGGGCAGGCAGAGTCAGGGAGGAAGAGAAATGGAGACAGGAAATCTGTCTCAATTATTTTCTGTCAATCACAATATGAAACATAATCCCCTTCCCACCCAAAACTTTTTCCAAGGATCATGGCATAACAGCAGGAAAAGGGTAAAAAAATATGGTTCTCATATATTGAGTTTGATTGGGGCTACTGCATAGCAACAGCTTATGATCAACATCTTTCAGGATGGGGAGGTGGCTGGAGCCAGCCTGACACATGCTGAATCCTTGTTCTGCTTCATAAAGTCCTTAAGATCTTGAGAAACTGACTTTGACTTTGCATCTTTAGTGAGTTCTAAACTACACATCCACAATAGTGTTAATGGTTCTCTGTCTCTTCATGAAACTTGTGAATTGAGGGAACAGTAGGACAGGACAGTCCTGGGAATGATGAAAAGACAGGAGACTTAATGTCTAGGCTGGCTCTGTTTGTTCTACCTCAACATCCTTTCCCACAGAGTGACAGCATTGCACCCAAGTCCTGTTTCACTGCTTCGCTTAAAAGGTGAAATAGCTTCAGCCTGACATCATCCTGAAATACTATAACATGCTATGGATTTATAGCCTCCCATATTCCTGGCTCTCAGCCAGTCTTCAACATTCATGGAATTATCAGGGCTATTTTTCTCTAACTTTAGAAGTCTGCTGTTCAATCTTTCTCAGACTGTGACCATAGACTTTCTGGTTTCTTTTCCAATAGCACAGAATTTCAGAGCTGAGAAGGGTCTTTAGATGCTATCTGTTTTAACCTCTCTATTTAAAATCTTAAGAAACTGTGACTGGAGGAAAGAAAGTGACTTAACAAAGCCCACACTGCTAAGTCGTAGCTAAGAATAATTGTATGTTTTTGCTTTGGTCTTGTATAATCCTTAAACATCATAGCAGGCATGTTGTATGAGGTGATCACTTTTAACTGCCTAAATTGCCCAGTCCCTCTCTGTCTGTGGATGTCAATATCCCACCTATCATCTATCTCAAGGCTTCTCGATCTTAGTATTATTGACATTTTTTAAATGTAATTTTCTTTGGACATTATAGGATATGTAGCACGATTTCCAGCTTCTACCTAGTGGCGTGACCTCATTTACAACTTCCAAAAATGCCACTAGACATTGCCAAATGTCTCGTAGGAGAAAAAAATCACTCCAGTTGGTATCAAATAGATATTTGCCTTTGCATTTTCCTGTATTTATAACACACACACACACACACACACACACGCACACACACACACAGACACACACACACACACACACATGAACAAGCACACAGGTGCGTGCACACACATACACGTTTCATTTCCTTACAAAGTTTGAGATATAAGAGCAGACTGGAAGGAGCTAAGTCTATGGTTTGAAACAGTACAACATTTTCATTTGAAGTTGCAGAATCTCTTGTCTCCAAGATAACAGATTTAGAACAGCTCCTGGACTATGGGTATGTGGCAGGAGGCATCAGAAGGGCCTGAGTATACATCATTACACTCCCTCTGCTGAGTCCTATCTTTCTCAGATAAAGATGTATGCAGAATTCATTGTTGTGAACATGAGTATTCTACCAAAGGGAAAGTGGTTAATTGACTCAATTATAGCGTCCTTCCTCTGTAGAATATTATGTGATTATTCATACCTTTAGTGAGGTGTAAATAACCTAAAGGATATTTTTCTTTTGTGACATTCAGGGGGGAAAAGTCAGGCAGGGAGTAGTTTTAAGAGATCTGCAACACAGAAAAGTGCAGATAGAAAAATAGCAAGAGAAAAGAACATACAATTGCATATATTCTATGTCTTCAAATATGCACAAGTAAAAAAGGCATCTATATATGAGAGCATATATATTCCAAGAGCATGGAAAACAAAATATTATAGAACTAGTGTGTTTACTTACAATTCCTGAATCAGAAACGATAGTCATTTTGGACTAGTGGTGACTGGCTTGCATAAGCGTATGTCTTATGTATAGGTATGCATAATTTAAATACAAGAAGAGCTCCCGGTGGTGTTGGTGGGCAAAGCATGGAGGAACAATGAGTTCTCACAGATTCCTTTCTCTTGCCTTTGTGGTGTCTTTCAAGCCAGCACAAGATTTCCTGTGCCAGTGGAATGTGGTCCCTGGGCTGAGATATTTGTGGAAACTAAGAAGCAGGAGGTATAAAGAGAAAGCAATCCATATTCAGAGTCAGGAACTTGCATTTTAGTTGTGGCTCTGTCCCTGTCGAGGGTATAATCATGGAAAACTCCATTACCTCTTTGGGTCTGAGTTTTCCTATTAGCAGAACATGAAGAATGGTGTTGTGCTATTTTGCTCACAGCATTTCTTGGTGTTTAAATGAGATAAGGAATGCTACTGAGTTTTGTAAATTAATAAATAAGTAGGTTTTTCATCATGACCATTACAATCTGCACCTCTGGGCCCTGGAGATTTTCATCCTCAGTATTAAATTGGTTACTGTCTTACTGGACATCCTGCCTGTGGAAGTTTCTAGGACTCACCTAAGTGCATCAGGGCTTCCTTGTCCCATGGCCAAGTTGCTACTCCTGCCAACTCTTCTTCTGAGGAGTTTGCAAAGAATATATTGAGGTGTGTCGATCCATCCAGTCTAAGAATGTTCTTCAGTTCATTAACATCCAAGTAGGCTCTGTAACAAAAAGAAAATAACCTTGGCTGCCATCACCTTTCATAAAAGGTACTCTTCAAATTACAGGTACTCCCAAATCATTAAGAGCTATTATATGCCAGACACTCCACTAAACTCTTTGTAAACAACAGTTCACTGAACATCTCCAATAACATTATAAGATGACCCTATTTTACAGTTAAGAAAAAGTAAATCCTTGATTCTAAGAGACTTGCCAATGTGGCTTAGTTTAAAAACAGCAGGATTTGTTTTTGAACCTAGACTTATCTATAGTTAACACTTCCATAGTTAAAGATTGCTATACTGACTGAAAACAGGGCCGCATAATAGTATTGCTTAAGATCACAGTTTATGGATGTGATATCATGTATTCTAATCATGGCATGGAGATGCACTGGGAGCTGTTTTGAAGATCTACATTCACCTTGAAGGTGGCAATAGTATTCTGTTTCCAAGATGAGTAACACTGACCCTAATGCTTTCAGTAGATTACCCAAAGGTGCAGAAATGGGGTTCAAGGTTAATACTGGCCTTAAAACCTCTTCTCTTTTCATGGAGGCATCACTCTACCACTCACAGACACTTTTGCATTCAGTAAAACTCTATTTCTTCATCTGTAAAATGGACTGGAGAGTGAGATTGCATTTGGGGGTTGTCATTATAGAGTGATATCTTACACATGAATTATCCCATGTGCCATAAATATGTTTGGAGAGGTACTTTGCAAAGCCATTGGCATATTTCAGGCGCCTAAAGTGGAAGGGAAATAGAGCCCTTTTGTCAGGATAGAAACGCTTTGCATGGGTGGTGCCTGATTCTCTGGCTCAGCCACAGTCATATTTCTCCATAGCTCATTTTCTAAATAGTGAGATGCTCCTAGCTCGCTCATGTTCCTCGCAGTTCCCATTTTGTCTGTTATCACACATCAGGGGTCATGCTAATGTCATACAATTATTTATGGGTAAAGTTGGAAACGGATCCATGAATTAAAGAATAAAATCATATATACATAAGAAAACAAGCAGCCTAAGGAATCGACCTATCAATGAATTATGATATCTCATGGATTCTTTGGGCCTTTCCATGTGTTCCAACTTTACATGGATTATTTGTTTTAGTCTTTTAAATAGCCAGGACATAAGTAGTGTTGCTCTTCATTTTTCAGAGGACATAGAGACTCAGAAGACCTTCATAATTTGCTAAGGAAATGCAGCCAGTTGCTGGCAATCTCCTTTTTCATAACTCCATATTTCCCTGGAGCTCTCATAGAGTTTGCCTAGTAGCATACATTAGTAATGGTTCTTTTCTCTTTCTTTCTTGGAGTAACAGAAAAGCCTATGGAAGAATAAAGTTCATGTTAACCAGCATGGCCTGCAAGACCCTGCTTCCTTAGCCTCAGATCTTTCTGTTACTTCTCCTGAACTGTCTCAGTCTCCCATAGTCCTGGGATTGCTTTCTTCTATGGATACCTGGAAGCAAGGAAGCCACTTTATTTCTCTCTGGATACTCACTTTTCTGTTTAGTGCTTGACACTTGGCAAGCATCCAGTAAACATTAATGAAATGAAATTTACACGAGGAAAAGAAAGCTAAAACGTTCCTGTCTTCTGCCATTTCTGATTGCAAGGTTTCTGGTTTTTGTTTTGTTTTTTATCAGCACATTAGGACTAGCAACTACTGTCTGAAGCTGTACACGGCATTTCTGTGGGTTTCAAACCTACACCTCTATGCTAATATAAACAGGGTATGTAGCCAGAAATAGTGGTGCATAACTGTAATTCCAGCACTCAGGATGCTGAGGCAGGGGAATTGTCATAATTGTGAGGCCAGCCTATGCTACATAAGTGAGTTCAAGACTAGCCTGCACTACACAGTCTCAAAAGAAGCAAAGAAACAACAAAACACGATCTGTATAGTACCTGGGGTATTTTTGTAGCTACTCATGTCATAGAGAGCCCCATGCTCACGAAACCAAACATCCATATGGCCACATTTTCTATGATTTATCAATAAAAAAGTTAATGTGGTTTGGAAATAAAGATGGGGCTTGAACTAGCTAACCCCAGTGACAACCACACAAGCTTAATATTGATCACAAGTCTTTCTGCTGAGTTCTCTTCACAAAGTACCCACGTTTAGCTACTTAGATTGGAGGCCTCAGGAGAGGTTCTAACCAGTGGGCTCTGTCTTCAGAGAAGGAAATGGTGCAGAATAACACCATTTGTGAAGCACTTGCTATATGCCAATCCCTGTAGTAGATACACCTGATCAAAAAATATAGTGTATGTTTACATTAAAGAAATTGTTGGTGAAAGACATATTGCCATTAATCCACTTTAAATACTCCCCCTTGCTTCAAACACACATCTCCTCCTTCTTGTCCCACTTTCTGAAGCAGATCTCAAAGTTCTCTCTCATAAGCATCTTTACAAAATATGATTAAAAACCAACCAACCAAACAAACAAACAAATGAACACTGTTGCGATGAACGCTGTTGTTGAGTGGCATCCAATGGAAAGACAGGCTTGTAGAAACATGACAATGTGTTCTCATCCGTCTTATTCATTGGATCTGGCACCGTGTAACTTCTGGCTCTTTCCCAAAATCAAAACGAATCAATTCAGTACACTGAGGGGGCTGGGATTTAGCCCAGCCATATAAGTGCCTGCCCAGCAAGTGTAAGGTTGTGAGTTTTATTCCCAGAAGACACTCCTGAAAGAGGACTTCCAGAACTGCTTCAGAAAATGGAAAGAATGATGAAATAGATAAGTTCAAAGTGAGGGGGAAGTATTATGAGGGGAATGAATGGCAATGTGTCTTTTACTGTAATAAATTAAAAGGAAAAAAAACCCACCCTTCACAACTGACCTTATTTTCTGATCACGCTGTGTACATGCATTATCTCATGTCTGCTATTTGTGATGCCTCATCTCTGGTGCAGAAGTGACTTGTTTTAAAGCCATAAGACTATGACTGACTCCAGTCTTTGCACTGGATGTGTGGGCCACCCTATGTAAATGACTTCAGCTCCTGTGTTCTAGTTTCTTTCTAGATATAAGAAGGGTGATAACAGTATTCAATCCAGAGTTGTTCAGTATATCAAGGAAGCTAATAAGTGAAATGTAAGGAGTGTAGAGTAAAGCCTGATATGCAAACCATCAGTATGCATTTAGCTATTCCTATCATCTACCCCCTCTTGAAGATTAAGAAACAGGGGTTCCGAGAACACAGAGTGTTAAGGTCAAGTGTCAACCTAGATGTCCTCGACTCTGGCCTCCACCTCACTTCAAGCTCACCCAGGCCCTTGGTGCAAAGGGAAACATGTGGGAGGAGAATGAAAACAAAAAGGAACCAAGATTTTCTTGGATCAGCCCTTCACACATTTTTCCCCCCTAATTGATTTGTCCACTTCCATCCAGTGTTCTCAGCAGAGAACACAAATGTTTTTAGAGAAAGCCACCTCTGCCCCATTGCTTTGTGATGTGTAGGCTTCATGAGTGCAGTGCACGGGGTGGGGCAGGGGCAGGGGAGACAGCTTAACTGGTTGTTTATTCAGTGATAATTGCAATGCCAATCTTTTCAAGGGATGATAATCATCCCAGCCCAAAGCAGAAAAGTGAGAGTTAGAGACTATTCCTGGCTTGTGTATGGGGTTTTCTCATTTCCCAAAGGGGAAAGAATCCATAGCAGCTAGCCAGGACCCTCGTCCCACTGGCCTTTCTCTCTCTTGGGAGCCCACTCAAAAGAAAAACACCTCTGTGGCTAAAAGTCTTCCTTCTGCCGATCAAGGGCTTCCTACTGATTTGAGTGTCTCTCAAATGCATTGGTAGCAGGAGAGACCAAGGGGCAGGAATTCAAATGAGTATTTATTTTTCTTTCTTTATACCTTGAAGATGGTTTTTCCCCTTTTGCCAACAGGAAGAGAAAGCACAAGATGTGAAATGTAGAAGAAACAATAGAATTAATAATATTGATAATGAGGAAAAGAAATGATTTGCACAGGGCTCCTTCATTTTCCATTCTGCAACTGTAGCAAGGCTGGTCCTGTGTACTTATTGAACATTGGTCACACTTATTGTAGAAAATTCTTACTCACACCCCATGAAAATCAACCTACATTCAAAATACTATTGAAAGTATTTCATGTTCCAGTACTAGTCAGCAATTGACAGATAGCCCCATAACCATAGGCAAGCTGTTTTCAGTCCCTGAGTCTGTTAGCTCACGGGGACATCAGCAGAATTAAATGAGACAGCCCAGCCCAGTGACGCACACATCCAGGAAATGTCAGGTCCTCTCTGTGTCCTAACTTCCTATTTCCTCTTCTTGGGATAGAACTGAGCTGGAAGGCCCCCACACATTGTTCTCCCAGTCTGTACTTTCAACGTTTCTTTCCCCTCTTCCCTAGTATCCAACCTTCTTCCTCTTCCCAAAACCTTAGTCACTCAGGTTTTCATTTTCCCGAGAACTTTTCTCTATTACCGTCATTCCATAACCATTAGTTTTCCTCTTTTCTTGAATTTTAACCACTTTAAATCTTTTCCACTTATGCCAAGAATACTGATGAGTGTCTCTAATCCCACCATTCAGGAGGCAGAGGTCAGAGGATAACAAGTTTGAGGTCAGCCTGGGCTCCATAATAAGATCCTGTCTCAAACAAATAAACAAAAAACAAACTAATAAACAACAACAACAACAAAAAATGAAACAGCCTCCCTGCTTACAAAGCCTAGCTTATAGATGAAGTAATCCATGTTTCTTTTCCTGATCGCCTTCACATTTAAAAATTAAAAGAGGGCAACCACATCTCAGGGATGTTAAGAGGGCTACTGCAAGGCACACAATGTGCCTGGCTTCAAGACTTCTGGAAGAAAGATACTCGCTTATCAAAGTCAGTTACTTTCATTATAGTGCTGTCTGCGCAGGAAAGTGATGTGACTCAAGGTCACAGATCAAATATGGGGAACAGGAGGGCCTGGCAATAGACTTCTATGCTCTAC